ACCCCACCGGAGACGGGGTAGCTTCGACAGCAAGCGCTCGAGATAGCATCGATACGGCCCTCGGAGAACGCCCCTTTCGATCATGTCGAGAAAACGTCCCGGTTCCCAGCGCGGTTGCGCCCTGTGAAGCAAACCTCGCGGAAGCCTACTCCGTCCGAGGTGTCCCGCGGGCTTGGAACCTCCAAAGATCTGCCGCAATGTCCTCCCGAGCAACAGGCGCAGAGTCGCCTTGAAATGCTCGAAGCCCGAAAGGATAGTCTGGCACGTCGCCGTGCAAACATCGATACCATCATTCACGAGTTGACTCAGGTCATCCAGCCCAGCTCGATCGCGTACGACATGGCTGCCCGAGAAGAGGTGAAGAAAACTGTTGCCAGCCTGAATAACGAGCTCGCCGAGATCAAGAGAGAAGAACATGAGATCGGCGTGAAGTTGCTTCGCGCGTGGAAAAAGCGTGACGAACAGGAGTCCTATGGTGGCAGCACCAGCATCTGGGTTAAGCGAGTGACTAGTTGAGAGCTGCCCTCCAACACATGCGTACATCTTCACTTGTCCCCCTCACCGGCTTCAGATGAGGAGATATTCCGACAATCTTTCATTCTTTGGCCTTCTTTGTTGATCACAGATATGCCTCGGCAGGACCATGTATCTTTTGAATTTGCCTTATACCCTGGATTAGCACTTGACGCACCATATTGTTTCTTGTTTCTTGTGAGCGAGTTTGAAGGTGTTTATCCATGTCTGAGACTTAGTAATTTGAAATTACCAACGATACCTCCAGTCGATCCAGAGTATGTCGTCCTTGTGACCACCGTACTCTGCTAATTGCCCTGCGGGACGGGCTAAAATCCTTTCTTGCGCCTGCAATATAATGAATTCGTGGTGGGATAATGGTATATCAAGTAAGAACATGCTCAGATCGCAAGATAGTAATGCATGCATAGTAATCCCCCACTGCGCGCTCGTGGCTCGTGGCTCGTCGGATATCATGAAACAAAGCGAAACAGCTGGTAGACCCCTCGACAAACGTCTATTTCTTTCCGGACTTCTTAATACCCTGGGAGCCGGTGTTCAGAGGACCCTTGCCCTTGGCCTTCTCCAGCAACTCCTTCTTGGCCTTGGCCTCTGAATGTCGGGTGATATTAGCCTCTACGATTTGAGTATAGCAGAACAGGGGGACACATACCAGCTCTCTGTCTCTCCTTGAACGCAAGGTCATCATCATCGAGCTCCTTCTTATCCTTCTTGGCCGCCTTCAAGGGCTTGACCTTGCCACCTACGGTCGAACGTTGTTAGTTTGGGAGAATGATGATGAGAATAGAGAATGTGAATACCTTCTCTGCTTTGACCACCCATTATGCTGGTAGATGTAAAAAGGTTGAATTGGCGAGGGAAAGGCTTCCAGGCAGGTGAGGAATGTAGAGATGTTGATCCGTCAGCGAGGCGGGGAGAAATGGATAAAAAAACAGAAAAGAGGGTAAAAAAAAAAAAAAAAGGTCGCGAAAGGCTTATCGGCCCTTTGCTGGTTCTGCCGCTGCGGGGTGGCGGAAAGCCCAATGAGGTTAGGCGTGAAATCTCGTCTTGGTCACCGCCCGCGCGCTCTCGCGGTCGCCTGGACTTCCTGTACCTACTCAAGTGTCTTCTTACTGCATCCCATCCATCTCGTTCATTGCATTCGAATCCATCTCTCATCTGCAAACCTCGGTATTGTTCCGGGCGACTCATTCTGCTGGGAAAGACACATACATGCTCTGTCTCCACCGATAGTGAAGTTGGCAAGGGCAGTGGCATCTCTAGCCGGTTGGGACTTTCTCAATACTCCCCATTCACAACTGCATCACTCGTCGTCGCAAGCGTTCTTGCTAACCGGGTCTCATTCCTCTGTCGCTCAAGCTCCCCAAGGGACCGATTACAACCCAAGCCACCTTCTCATTGCACACGTCCGAGTGACAGAAACCACCCAACTAGCCACCATGGCATCGCACAGGTCGAGGTCTCCTTCGACCCTCCTCGGAGTGTGAAATCATCGAATCTAGTTCAGAGACGAAGGCGACAACGTCCGCGTTTTCCTCTAAA